TGACAGAAGTGGTGAGAGTGAACATTCTTGTGTTGCTCCCAATCTTAGGGGGAAAGTATTCAGTCTTTCACCATTAAGTATAATGTTAGCTATAGGTTTTTCACAGATCCTCTTTATCAAGTTGAGGAGGTCCCCTTCTATTACTAGTTTGTTGAGAGTTTTAAATCATGAATGGATGTTGGATATTGTCATACAATTTTTCTGTACCTATTGACATGGCTATACATTTTTGTTCTTTACTTTATTAATATAATGTACTACATTAATTTTCATATGTTAAACCAACTTTGCATTCCTGGGATAAATCTCACTTGATCATGGTATATAATCCTTATATGTTGCCAATTTGGTTTGCTAGTATTTTGTTAAAGATCTGTGTTCATGAGGGATCTATGTCAACGAGGGATACTGGTCTGTAGTTTTCTTACGATTTTTTGTCTGGCTTTAGCATCAGTGTAACTTACCTTATAAAATAAACTGGGAGTTATTCCCTCTTCCTCTACTTTCTAAAAGAATATGCAAAGAAAAATATTTCTTCTTTAAATGTTTGATAGAATTCATCAGTAAAGCCAATTGGGCCTGAGCTTTTCTTTGTGGAAAGATCTTTAATTACTGCTTACATTTATTTACTTGTTATGGATGTATTAAGATTTTCCATTTCTTTTTGAGTCAATTTGTGCCTTTCTGGGAATTTGTCCATTTCATCTAAATTGTCTAATCTGCTGGAATAAAGTTATTCATAATATACAATCCTTTTAGTTTCTATAGGATCATTAGCCATGTACCTTCTTTCATTTCTAATTTGTTTTTCTTTTCTTTTTTTTTTTTGTGAGGAAGATCAGCCCTGAGCTAACATCCATGCCAATCCTCCTCTTTTTGCTGAGGAAGACTGGCCCTGGGCTAACATGTGTGCCCATCTTCCTCCACTTTATATGGGACGCCGCCACAGCATGGCCTGACAAGCGGTGCATCGGTGCGCGCCCAGGATTCGAACCGCTACACCACTGGGCTGGCCCCTAATTTGTTTTTTCTTTTTGCTGAGGAAGATTGGCCCTGAGCTAACATCTCTGCCCATCTTCCTCTATTTTGTATATGGGATGCCACCACAGCATGGCTTGATGTGTGATGCGTAGGTCTGCACCCAGGATCCAACCCTGTGAACCCTGGGCCACTGAAGCAGAGCATGCAAACTTAACTACTATGCCACCTGGCCAGCCCCCCATTTCTTTTTGATAATTTGTATTTTCTTTCTTATTTTATTGGTCTGTCTAGCTAGAGGTTTGTCAATTTTGTTGATGTTTTCAAAGAACCAAAATTGATTTTATCTATTGTTTTTCTGTTTCCTACTTCATTAATTTCCACTCTAAACTTTATCGTATCCTTCCTTTTGCTGGCTTTGGGTTTAGTTTGCTCTTCTTTTTTTAGTTTCTTAAGGTGGAACTTAGGTTATTGATATGAGACCTTTCTTCTTTTCTGATATGGGTGTTTACAGCTATAAATTTCCCTCTAAGCACTATTTTAGCTGCATCCAATAAATTGAGATGTTATATTTTTGTTTTTATTTGATTCAAAATCTTTTAAATTTCCTCTGTGATTTCTTCCTTGCCCCATGGGCTATTTACAAGTATGTTATTTAATTTCCAAATAAATGAGATTTTCTTAGATTTTTTTCTGTTGTGAATTTCAAATTTAATTCTGCTGTGGTCAGAGCACATACTTTATATGACTTCAAACATTTTAAATTTACTGAGACTTGTTTTGTGACCCAGGATAACATCTATCCTGGAGAATATTCCATGTGTGCTTGAGAAGAATGTATTCTGCAATCAGTGGGTGGAGTGTCATATAAATGTCAGTAGGTCAAGTTGGTTGATAGTGTTGTTCAAGTCATCTATATCCTTCTGCATCTTAACTTTTCTATCTAGTTATTCTACTAACTGTTGAGAGTACAGTAGTGGAACCTCCAATTATTAGTGTTGAATAGTCTATGTCTCCTTTCTATTGTCACTTTTTGCTTCATATATTTTGGAGTGCTGTTGTTAGGTGTGTATACATTTATAACTTATATCTTCCTAACGTATTAACTCTTTTATAATCATTAAATGTCCTTGTTTTTCTCTAGTAATATTCCTGTCAAAAAGTCTATTTTGTGTGATTTTAATAAAGTCATTAACCTGGCTCTCTTATGGCTCCTGTTTGCACGGTTTATGTTTTTCCATCCTTTTACTTTTAGTCTATTTGTGTCTTTCAATCTATGGTGTGTCTCTGGTAGACAGCATATAGTTGAATCTTGCTTTTTTATCCAGTTTGACAATCTCTGCCTTTTGAGTAGAGTATTTGGTCCATTTATATTTAATGTAATTATTGATATGGTTGCAAGCAACAAATCTCTCAATCTTTATCTGGGAATGTCTTTATTTCTTGTTTATACTTGAAGGATAGCTATGCTGTATATCAAATTCTTGGTTAACAGGTTTTTCTTTCAGCATGTTAAATGTGTTATCTTCTGCCTTCTGGCATCCATTGTTTTTGATGAGAACTTAGCCATTAATTGTATTGTTGTTCTCTCATATGTTTTGAATCATTTTTCTCTTGCTGCTTTCAAGATTTTCTCTATGTCTTTCAACAGTTTGGTTATTATGTGTCTAGGTATAGATCTCTTTGTGTTTATCTTCCTTAGAATTCATTGAGCTTCTTGGATCTGTAAATTTATTTTGTTTTTCATCAAATTTGGGAAGTTTTCAGCCATTATTCTTTAGATATTTTTTTCTATCCCTTTCTCCTCTTCTTCTGGAATTATTATACATATGTTGATATGCCTGATGTTGTCCCACAGGTCTCTGAGGCTCTGTTCATATTTCTTCAATTTTTAAAAAATCTTTGTTCTTTAGATTGAATAATTTCTTTTGTTCTACCTTCCAGTTTACTTATCCTTTCTTCTGCCTTCTCAAATCTGTTGTTGAGTATCTCTAGAGAATTTTTCATTTTATTTCAGTTATGGTACTTTCAACTCCAGAATTTCCATTTTTTTAATCATTTCTATTATTTACTGAGATTCTGTATTCATTGAGTCTTTCCTTTAGATTCAAGTAGCTGCTTTACAGTCTTTTTCTGCTAATTTCTACATCTGAGGACAGATACTCAGACATAGTTCCTATTGACTGCTTTTTTCCTGTGCATGGATCACACTTTCTTGTTTCTCTGAATGCCTCTAACTCTTTTGTTGAATACTGGACATTTTAAATTATATATGGTAGCAACTCTGGATTCTGACTTTTTCCCAGAAAATTTTTGTTTGTATTGTTTTTTTGCTTGTTCAGTAATTTGCCTGGACTACCTCTGTGAAATCTGTCTTCCACATAAGGTACAGTTGCTGATGTCTTTACTAAATTTTTTTTCTTGTTTATATTTTTAAGCCTGACTTCCTAGGTGTCATTCCCATGTCTACATAGCTTAGTGTTCTGGCAAAGACCAGTCAGAGGTTTTGCTTAAACATCTTGAGCCAGAAAGGCTTCTTCTCTCTGCTTCTGACTCTGTAGTGGGCTGGGGAGCACACTCAAACTTCAGGCTGTTTTCATGTCTCCCCAAGCTTTTACTTTCTGCTGGTTCTCTCACATCTCCTCTGTGTGTACACAACAGGCTCTGTTGGCCAGGGATGTGTGAGTTCCTTGGGCACACTCTATCTCTGTTGCACAGGCACACAGATTAAGGTCAATCTGGGATATACGGAGAGCTATCAAGCCCCTGATGTCTGTCTCACCTCCCAAAACTACCTATTAAGTCCCCAGCTAGACCACTGGTCCATTGCTTGGCCCAAAAAGGCCTGTAAACCCAAGGTAATGGAGCTACTGGCTCTTCTTGTTCATTTACCACTGAGATGGCAACTGACGGTTCTCCACATAGAGTGAGCCCCTTCTGGAAGCAGCAGCAAAGCTGCTGGTTGTCACAATCTGTCCTGCTCTGGTTGGAATATCACACTGACAGAGCTAGAGAGAAGGGTACAGGAGCAACCCTAGGCAAGAACACCACAAACTCATGCTGTTCCTACCCAAAGTTTAGTAGTTTTCATGAACAAATGCTTCTCAATTTGTTGTATGCCTTCGGTCAATTTTTAGAATGCTGAAATGGATATTTCCAATAGTTTTTTTCCAGTTTTCTAGTTGCTTTTTGGGGAGAGGATTTGCCAACCTCCTCATTCTATCATGCTGGAAGTCAGTATCTCAGCCACTCTTTACATTCTGCTGGAATTAGAATTATTAAAGCTATTAAAAAGTAGACCATGCAGGTGAAAGTATCACTGTGAAATCTTATTTTCAAAGAAAAATGTTTGCTTTTGTTTTCTGGGGGAAAAAATCAATCAACAAACAGAGCAATGACTAAAGGCACAAGTTTAAATGAGATTAAATTAATCTCATTAATTAATCATCAGATTAAATTAATTAAGAAATCTTACTCCTCAGAAGCAGCACCTAGGGCCCTGCAACTTGACTCCTTCACAGACATTAGAGAAATGAAATGCTCCACTAGAACGAAGCAAGTCCCAGAGCATTTCAGTTAAGACTGTGCAACCCACAGCCGCTTTTGTGCTTCTTCTGTTGCCTCTTAGTTGCCCACCTCTCTATTTTATGCTTCGACCACGGTCAATCAGATACACATTGGGAATTCTTATAATAGTCCCTTTTTTGAAGGCTTCAACAAAGTCCCTCAACCTGGCCATTTATCTATTTTCCTTTCTCTGTTACCTCGTACAGGCTGACACCTCTTGGGCAAGTCCCTTGAGCTCTGACTTCCTCAAAACCCCAAGGAAGGAAAATAAGAACAGCCCCATGCATCCAGGAGTCCAGTATCTCATAACTGGAGAAGTCTTAGAGATTTTTTTGGCAAAAATTCTCATTTCCAGATGGGGAAATTAAGGCTCAGGGAAGTTCAGAGGCTTACCCAGATCACATTCCAGGAGTGTGATAAAGATTATGTCATGCTGATAAAATAGGTGGAAGGCCTCAGAAATTCAGAACCTGAATGAGTGCAGGATCAGGCTCGGGGCCAGTGACTAGAAATGAGTTCATGAAGATCAACCCTGACATTCCACAGGCTCTGAGAACACCAACCCTCCCTTCTCTCTTACCTTAGCAAATAAAATCCAGGCTGCACACTGCCCTGGGGCCATAAGGCTTTTTAGCTTCACTGTGCTGAACATGAGAAAGAATCCTAAAAATCCACTGGAGGGAGAAAATATTCTTTTGTTAGTGAGGCTTGTCTTCCATTAGCCAATAGCTAACTATTTTCTGTTACATTTTACCAGTCAACTTCTAATTATTACACCACCTCTATCTCATCTATGTTTTCTAGTGATCTCTAGATGAAAACAAAAACTCATTCAGCTCAACTGTACAAAGGAGCTAAGATGAGAGCATTTCACTGGAGGTGGGGAGAGGGTGTAGAAATCTGGGAGGTCTCTGGCTAAAACACAAAAGAAAAAAAATGTGGAGGACGATACCTCCTGCCCCCTTCCCATATTATTTCTGGAGTTTGGTGCTTGTCCAGGTAGAGCTTCATTTTTTTGCAAGCAGAACAAACTGCCAGGAAAAGAATTTCAAAGTGAAACTCACCATATGAGGACCGAGGGTCTGGACTGGGCCCTGGGATCAAGGTAAGAACCTGAAGGGGAGGGCTAGCTCAGGAACAGAAGTCCTCCAAACCAGGCTGACCCTCACAGAAGCTATGCTTTGGGAATCATGCCTAAGCCCATGCATGTGACCTGAAAGAGCCCCCACCACGGAAGCCCGCGGCAGGGGCAGCATCTCGGGGGGTATTCCAAGATCTGGACCAGCAAGGCCTTGGCACAGCAGCAGACAGAGAAATAGTGGCCTGAGCTGGACCCATTTTCAAAAGTGTCACTGTGTAGCCAAGGCCAAAGCAAAAGGAACTCCAAACAGAACGGTCACTCTTCCTGGCATTTAGAAGCAGGGCAATTGGGAAAGAGGGTGTGGCAGACAGACCCCAAGAGACAGGCTGACTTCCTGCTAACATATGCTACTGGGGCTTGAATATGATTTTTATTTGAAATTGAATATTGAAAAGCAAGAGATACGACCGTGATTGTACACCAAGCCAGAAAGGCAGGTCGTATGGGCTGTCCCTCACTTGTACCTCCAGGGCCTCGGGTGCTACATTGCCATCTGACCTTTGTTAGAGGCACTGGTGTGTGGCTCCAACCCAGTTCGTGAGCTCTGAGAGGGAGGGGCCCAATCTTGGGCATTTCTTTGATTTTCCCCAACAGAGCCAAACATGGTCCCTTGGTCATGGTGGCTATTACATAAAGATTTGTCAGGTTTGCTTGGAAGCAACCTAAATTGAAGTAAACACACCTAAGGCCAAATTTCACAAAAACGTGTGCTTTCACTTCATTATTCGATTAGTTTGCACTGACATTCTTGGGGCAGGACAAGAGACAGGTCTCCCTTGTGTATATTTCAGCCTGTCTGGCCCTGATGACCTGCACAGTTCATTCAGATTTGCATCTGCAGTCACGGAGGTGTCCTTAAAGTGACAACTCTTAGTCTGAGATATGGTCATGGAGGAGCCACAGACGACATGGGGAAAACTGACACATTCTTAAAAGAAGTTAAACTTTGTACTGAAGCCGGGGAGTAAAACGTAATAGAGAGTTAAATCAATTCAAATAAGGATTTCCAAATTTTTTAAATAAAAAAACCCTGATTTTTCAAGTTGGGTTATGACAAAGTTGCAGATTAAAAGGGGCAGAAATGGAGCCAGAATGTCACCCCACAAAGCCAACACAACGGGCTGTGAACTGTGTTGCTCTGTTCCAAACAACCAAACAATGGTGGCCCTCTCCCTGCACCCTCTTTGCCCGTGCTGCCAAATAACCGAAGGGAGGCAAGCCCACCAGCACCGGAGCAGCACTAACACTCACGCCACGCAATCCTCGCTAACTGGCAAGTCACAAGGCCTGAGCAAATGGACGGGAACTGGGAAGATGGATTCTGTTAGGGTTTTCCAGAAGCTTTTCTGAGGATGATAAATAAGTCATCTCAGGCTCAAATGCTGAAACAAACTCTATAATGTTGATTTTTTTTGTCCTAATACACCCCCACCAGAAACAGTACCTAGCTACATATAAGCTTTTTGACTCTCTGTACAAAGAACCACTGTTTCACAAGGTACAATCTTATATGTGTGGGAATAGGTGGTCTGACCTTTATGTAGGAATTGTTCATGGTTTGTTTATATTTTATTTACAGTCAGCCCAAGCAGATAATAATAATGACCATCTTTTCTTGGGCCAGTCACGATGCTTAGGGCTTTACATATCTTATATAATTCACACAATCGTCCTGTATTGGCATTATTTTTCCATTTTACAGATGAGAAAACTAAACCAAGGCTTGGGAGAACTAGGAAAACTTGCCCAAAGACCACACAATTAGCAAGCAGCAAGGCTGGACTTCAACCCAAGCTGGTCTTTCCATCGTATCAGAATGCATGCTTTGAGACTGTCCACAGAAGCCTTTCCACTTCTCAGCATAATAAAGTCAAGAGAAGTGGGGATCGTGTCAGGAAAAGGGGGATAAGATGGCTATGAACTTCTGTGTATCCAATTGTATCCATTTAATTGGTCTACATCCCTGAGTACTTCCCGAGGCCAAGTATTAACGATCACCCTGTTGTCTAGACATCGCCTAGTCATTGGTTTCCAAACTCTGTTTCTCATAGTCTTGGGGTTCAGTCGAGGTTTTTTGGAGGTTGCCCTTCAGGAACAAGAGGGAGGCCAAGGTGAAAGCCAAGAGGGTGCAATTCTGGACCCAAATCTTCCCTTGAACTGAATCAGTTTCATCAGTTTTATATAGTGAGGTTCTGTTTAAGAATTGCTTGTGGAGGGAAAAAAAAGGGGGAATCCTAGCTCTTCCACAAGTTTGAAAACCACTGCCCTGGCTGAGGAACTTCTACAGGACAGGGGTCTTTGCAAGCCCCTGGCAGGCCCTGAGTGCCTGGGGGTGTCCATAACAACCCTCCGATGGCCGAGGGAGCTGTCTCCGTGCCTGCACCCCCCACCACTCTCTTCGGCCACTCATTCAGATAACCAGCAGTGACCCTGGCTTTACAAAGACACAGCTGATAGTACAGAAACACAAATTAACAGTGCGAGGGGTTTTATGAGGTAAGATTACCTGGCACAGCAGCTGCCATGGAATCTGTAGAAATACAGGAACGGAAAGTCCAGGACGCTGAGGAGATCACCTGAGGGGCACAGCATGGGTGAAACCACAGCCCACACGCCCCCTGCCCCCAGCTGCCCCAGAAACACAAGGCAACAGCCTTCAGCACAGCAGGCCTCTGAGTACCGGCCTGCCCAGCACTGAATTCACCCTGGCATTCCAAGGTTTCTATGCTATTGGCATTGTCTTATAATAATAATAATTGTATGATAATAATAACGCCCATTTAGTGACCTATGCAGGGAGGGCCCCATGCTGAAGCTTTATGTACATGATCTCTTTCAATCCTTGTAACAACTGTGCAAAGTTTTATTATCCCCATTTTTAACCGGAGCTCAGAGAAGTTAAGAGATTTACCTAAGATTGCACAACTCTTGAACTGTGGAGCCAGAATGTGAACCCCAGTCACTCCGAACCCTAGGATCTTTCCTCTTCACCAGGCAGCCATCCCTGCCCAAGGCAGAGTGTAGGAAAAAAACAATCTTTTTTTTTAAAGATTCTTCTATTCTTTTCTCCCTGTGTCTAAATAAAGATTGCGAATGCATGCCTCTGACATATTTTTTCACGTTTGTGTTTAATTACTGCACAGACGGCACAGGGGACAGACTGACCGTGCATACTCATTTTAGTTTAAAGTCCAAAGGGTACATTTATTTCTAGTGAAGTAAGTTCATTCTTTTAGTTCCACTTGGTGCAAGAGGAAATAATCACACATATTGGCTGCTTCCCTCTCTGGAATTTGAACTTGGTCACAAACAAGAAGTCAGGAGATTAAAAAAGCAGAAAGCCTTCCAAAAATGTCCAGAGAAAAGGAATTAAGCATTTCCATAGCAGATAGCTTAATCCTTCCAAATCTGGAATTTCTGAGACTCCAGAGGAGCCAGGCCTTCCATGCTTGGCCTTGGTCTGTCCCTAAGTTCTGAATGGACAGGAGCAAGAAGAGCTGATTTTTCTGAGAATTCACAGTATATTGGGTGTGCAGGAACACACAGGCAGTATCTCCTTCATCACTACAGTTATTAATCAAGAGTTTCAGAACAAGAGACACAATAGGCTGCCACACTTCCTCAGAGATCTAAATGATTTCAGATGAGTCAACCATCTATTGGGAAGGAAAGTTCTGAATTCCATTTCTCTGGAGAGTTGTTTTTTATCGTGACTATTGTTATTTTGTTTTGTTTTGTTTGTGCACGTGTGTGTGTTTAACTAAAAAAAGAGGGTCTCTTGGGATCTGGTTTTCATGCAGCCCAACAAGAGGTTGAGAGCTCTTGTTCTCTTTCTGCCACGATTCCACTGCATACCCCTATCGACTACTCGGGACCTCTGCTAGTGGAGGGACTTTGTAAATGACATCATCAGGCTCAGAGGTCTAGTGCATGAAGAACACCGTCTGAAGCCCCTTTCCCCACAGATGTGACAGCAGAGGTCACCCTGGGCACCCTAGTCCTAGAGGGCGCCAGAGCCCTCATTTAGGCGGATGAAGGGCTCTCTCTCTTTGGCAGCTATTGGTTCTTGGCCCTTTCCCAACTTCCCTCTCAGCATGAGAGAAACTGTAGCGCAATCAGAGGGATAATCAGGAATGGGCAGAGAGGGAACAAATTAAATCTTAAGGCAGGACCTCAAGATTCCTCAGACGCTGCCTCCTCTCAGCACCCAATCTTTCATCGGAAATGCTCCAGGGAGGTGAACTGGACTCACGGTGCATTGGCAACCTTTACAGCCCAGCCCAGGTTGTGGAGGGGTCTAAAGCACAGTGGAGTGGTCAGAGGTAAACTGGGAGGGAGGAGGATGAAGAAAATATCATGATCCTAGGGAATTTACCAGTTAGATAATAACCTTCACCCAAATCCTGAAGGTTGATCTCATAAATTACTGAGAGGCAGAGAGAGAGAATAGCTCACTCTTACCTTTGAGCCATTTCTAAAACCGCCATACATGTCTTACACACATGTAGCTGACTCCATGCCTGCCTCTCGTTCTAGAACTAGCATGTCCTTGAGAGCAGGGACTCCATCTTACTCAACACTTGTATCTGCTGTGTTAGGACCATCCCTGACATACAATGAGCACTACTGAACTGCAAGTATCTGAAACACCTAAACTCCTCTTGCTGTCCCTGGAGAAAAGGTCCCACTTTCCGGTTGGCTATGCTGGTCCTCAATCTTAAACTGACCCCAAATGCTTCCCCTCTGATGCCGTCAGCCTGCCTCCTCTTTTACTAACGCAGCGCTCTTAGAGGGTGCACACCAACCTCTAAACGGCAGGAGTTAATGACTGTGCTACAAATAGCCCTCAAGCTGTTGCAGCGTGCAGCTGGCTGGCCCCAACCACATGAGAATTAGATCCAGGAGCCTAAAAAATGTGTAAAGATGCTCAAAAGACAACACTCCTACACCATCTAGTGCAGAATGCACAATTTAACCACAAATTGAGTGGTTTGAGAGTTATAAACATGTTTGTAGCATCAACATGCAGTTTATGCAACAAAGTCTGAGTTGCGCCCTCCTTTTTGTGCTCCACAGTCAAAATTCTGCTGACTCTTTGAGTGAGGGAGTGAAGCCCATTTCTCTGAAGATTACAGAGCATGAAATTGCCATGGTGAAAAGTGTGGCACAATCTTACCACATTCAAAACTAATCGATATTTGAATATCAAGAAAATTTCCTCTCACCACATTGCAGCCTTCAGCACTGGCAGGAAAATGGAAGGTCAGTAATTAGCGCTGCCTGCTTTATCTCACACACGAGCAACGGACACACCAGGCAACAAGGCCATTTCTGGTCCGATTCCTGTGGGTCTCCCTGCTCTGCTGGCTCCTTGAAATTCTCTCTCTTGAACACCACAACAGAGGGGCCCCATACTAACATGAAACCCAGACTTTCAAACGGGGAGAACTGCTCCTCTCTACTACTGCTTAAAACAGTCCGAGGGGAAGCAAGGTTCCAGGATTCTTGGAGCCTCTGCATGAATCATGACTTTTGATTAGAAGAGGGAGATTCCACCCACCAAGAAGCAAACCCAGTGCCTGAACGGGAAAAAGTGGCAGGGCCAGCATCTAGGACACAGAGAACTATCTACCTTATCCCTACCACCACGTCCCAAGGCACCCCAAAGGTTGTGACCCAAAGCCACATCGTCTGCATCTACAAGAAAGTTCATCTTTCTAGTCACTCAAGAGTGAGTGAGAAGGGCAGCTCAGTCAAAAGCACTATTGAGAGACCATCACCCACCCGCTAGAATAACTAAAGTAAGATTGACAACACCCCATGTTGCTGAAGATGTGGAGCAACCGGAACTCTCACGCATTGCTGGGTGGGAGTGTAAATGGTACAGACACTTTAGAAAACTGGCATTTTCTTTAAAAGTTAAACATACATCTACTCTAAGACCCAGAAATTCTCTTCCTAGATATTTATCCAAGAGACATGAAAACGTAAGTCCACAAAAAGTCTTGTATAAGAATGTGCATAGAGCTTTATTCACTGGGAACAGTCCAGGTGAGCGTCAACAGATGAATGGATAAACAAAAGGTGGTGCGTTCACACAATTGCACACTACTCAGCAATAAAAGGGAGTAAACTAGTGATACACACAACAACCTGGATAACCTCTAAACACTACAGTGAAAGAGCCAGACACAAAAGGATACTTCTTGTGTGATTCCATTTACGTGAGACTCTAGAATAGACAGAACTTATCTGTGGTGACAGAAATCAGGTCAGTAGTGGCTTTTGGTGGTGGGTGAGAAGGGAGTGACTAAGAAGGAACGTGAGGAAACTTTTGGTAGTGACAGAAATGTTCTATATTTTGACAGGCGTGTGAGTTACATGGGTGTATACATTTGTCAAAATTGATCAAGCTGTACATTTAAGATATGTGCATTTCATATATGTAAATTATACCTCAATTTTAAAATATTTTAAAAGTACTACCAAATAATTAAGATACAAGTAAAAAAAGAAGAGGTGAAAAGAAACCAGAAAGAATAAAACCCTGTTTTAAAAAGTCAGAAATGATTAACAGATCCTTCAAAAAAAGACTGCACCCATGGGTCCTGTCTCCTACTGTGTCTTACCTGGCGCAGGTGTGGGAATCCGGAAGACACTCTCCCTGACCTACACTCAGGCCGCGCAGTGGACTTCCAGATGGACAGTGTAATAAGCAAGCGGGAAAGAATAAAGTGTTGCTGTCTCTTTAAAATGGGCTAGACCACCCATGAATCCAATGAGAAAGCCAAAAATTTGGAAGATATGGAAGCTGCTCAACCAGAGCAGTCCTTGAATACTTCTGGAGGAGACAGATTTTCCTCAGTTGTTTTATTTGCTTAAACTTCGTAATCAACTACATATCACTATTAGAAAACATCACCAGCGCCCATCAAAGAGTTTAGGGCAATTGACATGGGTTTATATAAAGCTGAGAAAAACTGATCCCCATGAAGTCCTCTAGATTTTGAGCTTCCGCCATCTCTCTTACCTAATTCCTACCTTAATATCTATCTGCCTTAGTTCTCTACTCTCACAAACAAATATAAGTGCTTTACTATACCTGAGTGCTTTTTGAAGCAAGGGGCTGCTGCTTACAGTGGGTAGGGCGTGTTTAGATAGACCACAACTGTATGTGGTGGTCCTGAGAGTTCCTAAAAGGTAAAGCTGATCAAAACCTAGACAGTCTCTTTTCATTTGGATTTCACCAGCAGCTTCCCCCCTCTAGTCAAGATTGTTTTGCTACTCAACAGTCCTCCTCCAGCCAGGCACTGAAGGACCGCGCCATGTCTACCAAGGGTTCAACTCAATGGCACTCCGCTGACAGGAAGTGAAAGGAAAAACAGACACACACATCTTTAAGGCACCTTGACTCAACATTTGTAAGGTTTTAAGAAAGCAACAAACACAATCATGGTGACCACACACAGAGAGCACCTTTATAAAAAGAGTGTCTTTATGTTACTTAATACACACAGAAGTAGGTGTGGTTTTACAGTAGTTCCCTGAGATACACATGGGTTAGATACTGGACGTGGTGCTGGCATAGATGGAAATCTCCAGCTTCTTCCAGAAAGCTGCCCCCAGTTTGTACACAACCCCACACTCACCCTTACCAGGGCCTTTGCCGGAGCCCTGCTATGATAGCTACTGAGGCCCACAGGACTCCTGACCCTACAGCTTTGGGGGTCCCTGGGGAGCCTGAGCTACTTACAGCAAGGGAGGCCAAGGGCACCCCTGCTACTGGGTAGTCACAGCCAGAGTCATCAGCCCAGCAAAATCCTTCTCAGAAGCCCAACTCTCTATCCCTGGCCTCTTCAAATACACACCTCAGCTACCTGAAAACTGCAACGGAGCAACACTGCAGGCAGGAGTCCTCCCAGGGGCTGCACCCAGTGTCTCTCTGAGGACCCCCTGAGCTGCCCAGCACAGACCTACCCCAATCAGTCACCGCACAATGGGATCCGAGCCTGCAGGGGAGGGAATGGAGTGGCATCTGACGTCCATGTTTTTAACTTAAAATATAATTTGAAGGAAGATTAATCCTTGCCAATATCCTTCTCTGGCATAACGAAGCTCCAGTTTCTCAAATAAGAGAGATTTGCTTTTTTATGCCCCAACATATTTTTTTGAGATATAATTCACATACTATAAAATTCACCCTTTTAGAGTGTACAATTCAGTGGTTTCTTTCAGTATATTCACAGAGTTGTACGACCACTACCACAACTACTACCTAAATCCAGAACATTTTTATCACCTCAAAAAGAAGCTAAAGCCTATTTTAAATTACTCCCTTGCCAGGCCATTCTACAGCCTCAGGCTGCTGACCACTCTGTGTTCCCAGAGAGTAACTAAACGTCCAAGGCCTTCTTGTGTTAACCTAAAAGTTTAGCAATAACTCAAGGGAAATGTGGGAATGTTGCCCAAAAGGCATAAACCATTACCAGCAGTCACCGTGCTCAGAAACTGGGAGACAAAAAAACCGCCCTCCAAACCAAGAGAAGCTCCAGAAAGAAGTTTAGGAACATCATACAAAAGCATTCACTCACTCGGGAGACTTCATAATGAAGTGTGAGATCACTGAAAAAAAGAAGCATTTCAAAAGAAAAACCTGGAAAGAGGGTCAGGAGACCTAAGCTCCAGTCCCCCTCTGCTACTCACCTCCTCTGCTCACCTTGGTCACCTCACTTAGCTCCTTTGGGCATCAATTTCCTCATTAGTAAAATGGGTGGCATCTTGGAAAATTACTAAGACTCCTTCCAGCTCTGATAATCACCAGTGTAACAAATGAACAAGCGTAACTTCTTAGTTGAAAGGCAGAGTGATTTCTTTAGGTGAAAATTACTCACCCAAATCCACTAGAAATCACTCAGCAGTAAATGAACATGTAAACCAAGGAGAACCAGCAAACAATCACTTTCCAAAGGCCTTTGACCAAAACACATTTCAAGGGGGCTGACGCTTCATAGGCTCTTAAATATCTATTTATAAAGGATAGGATTTCAACAAATGATAGGGAAGAGGTCACTCAACAGCAAACCTCATGGTTGTGAGATAACACGAGGCTGTGGGAGTGGGCAGAATAGAGCAGAGGTGCTTCAGTGTGGGTAAGGGTAGACTAACACATTGAGAATAAAGTAATTCAAATTATCCTTACGAGACAGGGGTTTGGATATGTCACATACAATCTAGAAACATTATGCAAGTCACTATTGACAGTTCTCTGAGGATACTATTTCAAATAGTCTGAAGCAACAGAAAGCTGAGATTGTTTGGTGCACAGTTTGAGAGCTAGAAGGGGCTTTAGAAATAATTCAGTCCACCTTTCTCACTTTACAGATAAGAAAACCAAGACCCCGAGGGCTTGGGAAATGCCTTCTGCATAGCAAATAGTCAATAAACACTAGTTTAAGGAGCATGACCAATAAAACGTGTATTTGCAGCTGTACCACACAGAGCTATTATTGCTTTATCTTTGGCATCAACTTCAAAACCTTCCAAAGGGAAAAAACCACAAATGGAACAGAGTATTGTGGACAATTCCTGAAGCTGAAAAATAACCATAGAATAACAGAGGCAGCAACAGGGTGAAGGTAAGTTTTAAAACCCGACTTCTTTAATCTGGAATTATGAAAATGGGATGATAACATATGATAAAAATTATAAAAATTATTAAAAAGTTAGAAATAGGGTGAATTTGAACTTTTTCACCAAATCTTTAGCATTAGAATTGAAGACTAATTCTGGATGCTCGAAGAAGGAATTCTAGAAGAGGACAAAGCAAGTACTAGTTTACTGAGATAGTACCAGATGAAAACATAGATAATAAAAGTCAAGAAGGAATAAGAATAAACTCATGGGCAATAAACCCACAGTGGGTTATTACGAACAGTTTCAAGTATGTGGGCCATTGCTAACCTCTGGGTTTGACATTCTGAAGGGAACCACATTCTCTTACAAAATGTCCCTCAGACACATAACCAGAGTCAGAGCACTGGCTTGAATGGGCCTTGTAAAATAAACAAACAAACAGACGGTTACCTGTGGGATGAGACGCAAATGCCAGGAGCACCACGCTGAAAAAGAAACAGCATAGCAGTGAGGAACACTTCCCTGCACGAGCAAACACCACCACACGTTTCCACCCATTCTACTTGGAAATGGTGAGATTTGCCTAAAGGCAAATTATCTGCCCTGAATAGTCTCATTCTGCCTAAATCCAACTCCTCAGCAAGAAAGTGAGAATCTCCTAAAATGCCGCAGGTTTTGGTTAAGAGGGTTGAGTCTGCCCTGGGACACCCCACTCTGAGGTTCGGCCACGCCACAAATTGTTATCATACTCATCCCATCAACAAACAGTATTTGTAAGCTAAACAAAGCAAACTCTAAATTACAAATAGGCTGCAATCTAAAAGCTAGCTGTTGAGCATGAGCTAAATCCATTTTTGCCACAAAATTAACTGTGTAGAAGGTAGTTAAATTTCCAAGAAGCTAGCCCACAAAATGATCCATCTCTTCTACCATGGCCTGAAAACTACCTGCACCCATTTGCAATTGATGCCAAAGAGGATGAAAAGGAGAAGAGTCCCCTGATGCAGGTCATATTCACCCCTGGCACCCTCCCATCTTCCTCTCTGGAAGCCTGTCCCATCTCCCAGTGCCCATCTACAGCACCTTCATGCTGCCCTACACCCACCTCTACACCCTCTTCCATCACAACTCTATGCCATCCAGGCAGCTGATCTAGTTAGAGGTTAGGAATAAAACCTTTTACCCAAGTACAGGAAGGACTTTTTTTTTTAAGTGCTGGATGGCCTACTCCGGTTCTTAACCCTGGCTGCACATCAGAATAGCCCAACATCCTGGCTTAAGTTAGAATCTCTGAGGGTGTGGTCCAGGCCAGTTGTTACTTTGTTATGGCCCCCTGGTGGCTCTAAAGTGCACCAGGATTGAGACCCAGTGCAACAAATCCCTAGTTGGTGACCTTATAGGCAGTGTAGAAGACAGTTTTGAGCAGAGAAACCAGTGTTAGCTCATCAGCTCTGCCCTGCCCTCATCCTGGGTTATCTCCCAGCACCATTTCTGTTTTCCTCAGGCTCCTCCTCTGCTATGTTTCTAAAACACAGGTTCTCTGATGGCTCCCAGAGGAGCCACAGAGAGTGACAGGAGGAGAGGAGGGTTGGGGGAAAGGCAATGCACCACATGTCTAGTCGCTCAGAAGTTGGAGGTTTGTAAGATATGGAGCTGTAAAAAATACACACACTACAAACAAGACTGGAGACTTTCTGTCCTTTCCATGGGCTGTCTGCTTACCATCTCCTTTCTTTGGAAAACACATACTCCATTATTTTATCTCCCTGAATCCCCTTTTGGTTATAACTTCAGAGGTAGAAGTTATTGCTCCTATGGCAGGACACAAGGGGCACCTTTCCATCCCAAAATATCTCCCAGGGCCTGCCATGTATCCCAAATGCCATCATTAGAATCACGCCTGAGGGTGACTCTAAAAGAAAATATTAGGGAGTAAAAATAAGAAGAAATAATTAAATAAAAGAGTTGGTTCTCTAATCCCTGTCTGAATTTTGCAAACTGTGTTATACCACTCCTCACTCCTACACTGTGACCTCCTTGGGGGCAGGAACCACATTTGATTCATCTTTGGATCCCAAGTGCTTAGCAGGGCCAGACAGAGAGCAGGTGCGCCATATGTTTTCTGAATTGCAATTAATCACCTCTAGGTGTATTTGTGGTGGGAATATGTTTGAAGAGAAATATAACTTGAAGCCCTCTAGAGCTCTAAGATTATATATTACATGTAAACTCTAATGAAGAAATTATGCTAATATAAAAGGTATATTATGCCAGATAAACAGATTTTTTAAATTCATTCACACAACAAACATTTATTGAGTGCTTCGTAAGTGCCAGGTACTGTCTAATATGGGGATACAGCAGCAAACAAAATAGAAAACATTCCTATGCACGTGGGAAATAAAATGGGAAAATACAAGGAAAATATAATCCCCCCAGGCTAAACTCCACTAGATTTTTTCTGTTCCACAAAGTCACACCCCAGAGAGAATACCTATTTCCCTTTGACATATACACATACAATTTCATCTGTAAAATCAGGAGGTGGAGTATGAACAGGGAACATTATGGTAATTTTCTATGGAATAGATAAGGAGAGACTGCTGTCTGCTCACATTAAAAAGAGATGGTCCTAGGCGTACATCCCATAATATTCATTCCTTATAAATTGCCTGAATTTCTGAAAATGCGATTAAAGCCATGCCATTTTTAGCCATTCCATTTATTTTCAGCCCCATACACAACTTCCTCCTTTATTCCTTCCTTCATCCCTTCCTCTCTACCCTGGCCCTAGACCTCTCTCTATATGAGGAACGTCAAAAAGTCAGGGTCAGGGGGCATACACATCCTCAAGAAAATAAAGAGTATGTGCCAAAGTAGAGAACCATCCAAATACTTGGGTCTCTCAAAAAATGGAGGGATGAAGCCAGTGCTTGGCCCTGGCTGGCAGAGCTGGGCTGGCGCAGACAAGCACAGCTGCCCACAGACCTGAGTGACTGCAGCTCTCTGGATGCACGCCCTTAGCGTCCAGTGCCTGAGGGAAACCGAATAGCGGCCCTCGCTCTGATTCACGCATCTTCGTCACTTGTACTGAAAGAGGACTTGGAAATAGAATCGCGGCTGTAGCAGGGTGGGTGGAGGGCTCAGCCAGGAAGCCTGGAGCGCCAGGCCCACCAGCAGTGAACATCCTCACGGATGAAGGAGCTGGGAGGTGGGCAGGGAGTAAGGACAGGAGAACTAGCGGGGGGCACAGAGGCGCATGTTTCCATCCCCTTATTCCTCTGCTGCTCGACTTGGCTATAAGTTCTGTGGAGAAAAAGAACCACCTAAAGTGGCCTGATATCATGGAAGCATTTTAAATACCAAGAGCCTTCCACATTTTCAGAAAAGTCTCTTGAAAAGGCAGCTGGTGGGTCTGGGCAGAGTGGAACTAATGATTGTTTTCAGCTGAGTACAAAAGAGGCCCACAGCCATGCTTGGGGTGAATCCTGCTTTCAAAAAGGTGTTTTAATAAATACTAAGATATTTATGAGCTCTATCTGCAAATGGAGAATACAGCTTATGTTGAACATTTTAGGCTGAGTAACTTCCTCCAGAAAGGAGCGTGACCAGACTCTAAGAAGCACCTCTCTGACGTCGGTCCTCTGTACTGAACGTGGTTGCAATATGCAAACTTGGGTTCCCAACAGCACATCTCTCTTTCTCAGTGAGGTCCCACAACGCACAGTCTGAGACTACTAAAATAAAAGTACGCTCCCCAGCTATTCTATTTAGCGGGCTGACCCCCATTCTTTGCTTGGCTTGGGGCTAGGGTACAAACGGAAGTCCATATACCGTATTTAAATGTTATGCATCAAGGGCCGGCCCCGTGGTTTAGCGGTTAAGTGCGTGCGCTCTGCTGCTGGCAGCCCGGGTTCGGATCCTGGGCGCGCACCGACGCACCGCTTCTCTGGCCATGCTGAGGCCGTGTCCTACATACAGCAACTAGAAGGATGTGCAACTATGACGTTCAACTATCTACTGGGGCTTTGGGGGGAAAATAAATAAATTAAAATTAAAAAAAAAATAAATGTTATGAATCAAGCCTCAAACTTCATCCCACCTTAATAAATATACCTACAAAACAACCTGGAAGTCCAGATTAAAAGTCAGAATTCTTGGAGTCCTTGGAGCTTCACGTCAGAATGTGGCAGTGTGGGGGGATCCAGCCTCTGGCTCCCCGCTCCCAATGCACCCCCTTCACTTTCCACCCCAGGGTCCATCCTGCACCCCAAGGACCTGACACACAAGTGTGCGGACACCTCAGCCTGCAAGTCCACCTTCCATCCACGTCCCCCCAACTAACAGCCTTTCTGTGGATACCCTTTGGGTCTAGGAATGAGTTAGGAAGACTGACCCAGGGAGCCTTGGAACCGAGCTCAGAACCACTGGAGTAGGGAATTCCAGGGCCCAGTCTAGAAGGAAGGGTGAGGACTCTGGGAAGATATGTCCCCTTAGCCTTAAAGACTCCATATCCCACGGGGAGAGGCATGGCCTTCTGAAGTGTGGGGCCAGACAGAGACCCCTTTACCTGGCCTAAGGGCAGGATAACTATTTGGTTTCCTCAAATCTGATCATCTCACAGATTACTTAGCTTGCCTTCCTGGCAGGCACATTGGCTCAGAACTCCTTAATCAAAATATTATTGAAAAATAAAAATCCATTAGCTCTAGAAGGATATGAGTTATTCTTTGAAAATGTAAATTATATTTTACCTGAATATATAGTTTAAGTACTGCTGGTCAATGTCACTAAAGAATGAGGAAAAAAAAAAGATAAAACATGTGAAATAATAGAAGTGTTTTACACACAAAAATAGTCGTTATCTTCTATTAACAAATTATGTCTAGGTATAAGTTACTACATTTATAAATTATCAATAAATAGTATGAAGAGTACTTTACACTCAAAACCAGACCCTGGTCCGTTTGTAAAAGCCTTTCCTCATTTAGTTCTATCACACACATTTTCACTGGGGGCCGATTATTTCCCGTGTGTACATGTACCACTTTAAAAGCAGTGTCAACTCTCCCAAGCCACTGGACTGGCTTCTAGGACCCCATATCTGACAAATAAAAATACAGGACCCCAAATAAAGCTGAATGTCAGCTACAGAACAATGTTTTAGTGTAAGTGTGTGCCAAATAGCGTATGGGACATACTCACACTGAAAACATTATCCATGGCTTATCTGAAATTCAAATTTAACTGGGCATCCTGTATTTTCTCTAAATCTACTGGCTTCTTGCTGCAAAAACTCTTTATTAAAAGAATGAAAGGCACTCTAGGGACCCAAAGTCACACATGTTCAGAGTGTACAACCTTCTCCCAGGAGTCAGGCCCTTCAGAGTTCTCCTCAGGCCCTCATGCAGCCTTGAGACCCAGAGGCCAGCTGCCCAGTCGAGGGCTCTGACCTGGCAGCTCCAGCCCAACCAAGACATGAATTCTCATGTTGTTCATTTACAGTCACCAACTCTGCTCCATTGACTGTCCATCACAAAGGCCTCATTTTACCTCAGAACAGAGCTAGTGACTGGGGAGACTTCTAGGTCTAAACTGAGTCAAGTCAGAAGGGGCCGGAGAAACAAAGAGAGAAGAGTTATGCCTCCAAGCTGGAGGAGGTAAACCAGGGCCCAAGGTAGCTGGGCACATAATTTTTGTCAAAATGTCATCTAAATGGCTGCCCCTGAAGGAAGAAGAGAGAGATTTCCACGCTTTTCATAGGTTGCTGACGGCTGGCATGTTTCAGGTGCTGGTGGACCCGGCCTGGAACAGCCCAACAGCAAGAGAAATGGCTCTGGGGCTGAGTCTGCTGCCCTCACCGCCACCTAGACCTGCAGAGTCTCTGGCTGAATGGAAGAAGCTCACAATATGGTGGGTCTTACCCCTTTCCTTTAACCAAAGGACAACTCACCAAACTAAAAGTTTACCTTAACGCGTGGGGTTTCTGGGACTTCTGTAGTATCTTATAAGCCCCTGAAAATGAAGCAACATAAGTCACTGGCACACGGCATGCTGTGAAAAGGGCTGCCTGCACTTCCAGGCACAAAATCCACATCCTCTGCCCCGCGAGGGTCACCCACAGTCAGCAGGAGGACCAACACCACTTTGGGAGATTTCAAAGATGCGAATTCGATAATCCCCTGTGATTATGCAGTTCTGTGGAGGGTGCAGGCAGGGAAGGCTTGTGATCAACAGAAGGGCACAATTAACAGGAAGCTGTTGGTTTCCTTTGCATGGTGCGCATGAGAAAGAGAGACACCACGGGACTTCCAACTGTGTGTAACAAAGTCAGGGGACCATTTTTTCCCCCCAACACTACAGATAGGAAACACTGAACATATGATTTGAAATAAAGTCAGATGGTCCTTTTATTTCACCCACTTAAATTTTTTTTTGGTATACTGTGAAAAGAGAGTGTTTTTGACACAAACTTCTGGATCTCTTCCCACCATTTTTAGAGAAGACCAACCAGCATTCCACAAGTGGACTTGAGCAAGCAGAGCCTGAGCTGTGTGCATTAATTAATGTTTGTCATGACAAGAGGAGACTATATGGGAACTGGAAACATTTGAGGAAAACTCCAAAACAGGAAAATCAAACCAGAAAATGCCCATTTAAGTTTAACCTGACATCTCGTATTTAAGCTTCCTATTGTCCAGGGTCACTAAAAAGTGGATATACACTAAGTTCTAAATAATAAGCCTCAATTATTTAAGTGAGCATGCTTTTAAAACTTACCTATGCAGAATAAGTGAATTACAGCCCAGAAATATCCATCTGGATCAAACTGTAACACAGGATTAAAAAAAAATGGCTATAAGTACAGACAAACAGGATCCAGTGCAGCCATCAAAAACCCTAAATGTCAATGCACAGTGCCAAACAAGGGTGCCAAGACAGGACTCTTGGGGCCTTGGGCCTGTCCCTCCTCATCTCACCCCTTTGCTTGTGACATCCTCCTAACAAGGCTCCCTGCCTCCAGCGCCCCCTTCCCTGTTCTCCACACTGCCCCACAAGGCATCTCTAAAAGGCAAATCAGATGGTGTCACCTATTGCTTAAAATCATTCAGCAGTCCCCCAGTGACTTCAAGATAAAATCCAAACTCATGACACCCAAGGATCTCTGACAAGCCCCTCAAGTCGTCCAGTCCCATCTACTGCCCTCCTCTCCAGGGAGAGAACGTGCACTTCCCCGAGCACGAATGCTTCCCCCACCGACTCAGCCGAGGGGCATTCCCTCCTCTTCTTCCCATCCCTCTCTGTTTCCATAGGAGTTTACCTCATCAAACACACTCTATTTTACTTATTATCTGTCTATATCTCCACCCCCCACTAGATGGTAAATTCCAGGAGGGCAGGAATTAGCACTGGGGCATACATAGCAGGTGCTCAATAAAGTTGTGTGGGGGATCAGAATTTGCCACCCCAAATGTGTCTCTCCGGCTTAATTATTATTATTTTCTTTGGCAGGGAAAGATTCGCCCTGAGCTAACAACTGCTGCCAATCTTCCTCTTTTTTTTCCCTCCTCCCCAAAGCCTCAGTGCATGGTTGTATATCCTAGTTGTAAATCCTTCTAGTTCTTCAACGTGAGCCGCCACCACAGCATGGCAACTGACAGACGAGTGGTGTGGTTCCGCAACCGAGAAAGGAACCCAGGCTGCCAAAGCGGTGAGAGCACGGAACTTGAACCACTAGGCCATCAAGGCTGGCTCTGGCTTAATTATTTTTAAGAACAAAAGACTCAGAAAGAAACTTTGACCTTCCCTCTAACTGCCTAAAAGAATTTAAGATAGAAGGCCTGTTTCAAGAAGGAGCTAATACCATAAGATAACTATAGTATGATATAAACTAGGTGTGATAGATGAGGAAGAACCTAGCAAGGGCCATTTAATCCAAGTCCTCTCCATCTCTCATTGTCTTTGCAAGGCATAGTTAACATTTGTTTATCAAACATGTGCTTTTCCATCTCCACATAAATTGCCTTCTTCCCTTTGAAGTCCCAAACCACTACCCCCAACATCCTCCTTTGTCTTTAACTGAAGAAGGTGTTTAATGTGGTGGCTTCAGCCATTTTCACAAGTTATTCAGTTTTCCTGGGTTTCTCCCAAGTATACATGTTACTAAACTCTGTTTGATTTTCTCCTGTTATTCTGTCTCATGTCAATTTAATTCTTAGACCAGCCAGAAGAACCTAGAAGGTAGAGGAATAGTTCTTCCTCCCCTACAGCTGAATCACAGAATACTCAGGACACCTGCAGGACTCTGCCCACACCTGCTTTCTCCTGGCTCACTCCTCTTCACACTTCAAGATTTAGGTCCAGTACACAGAGTCTGGCTGTAGCACCAGAAAGATCTGGGTTAAATTCTAAAATCCCCACTTATTCGTCAGCAGGTGACCTTTTGGGCCTCATTATTCTTTAGCTATGAAATGGAGATAATAATAGTCCCTGCCCTTACAGAATTATTGTGATATTTTAAATAAACTATGGCACATAAAGCGTTGGCATGGAGCCTGGCCCAAAGCAGGTTCCCTGTAATTGTTGCTATTCCTTCTTCCTGAGTTGCCAGATCTTCTCAGGTGCCTCACAGCCCCGCGTACCTCCCTGGACACAGCCTGGCCTCCCCGTGTTATAATCATCTGTTTACTGTCTGCTCTCCTCCCCTTCGCTCTGACTAGACTCCGACTTCTGCCTGGACGAGGACAATTCCTCTTTGTGGCCCCAGAGCCTGGCTCAGTGCCTGACGCTTGACGGGGACTTAATAAATGCCGGGGGAGAAAAGAAAGAGAAAAGACCCAGCAATGAGATGACTACTGGAGGTGGAGGTGGGTCCTCAGTGCCTCATAAAGAGAAACTCAGGATTACAAAGTGAAAATCACTCTGCAGAGGAGGCCCTTGAGATGAGAGGAAAAATCAACTTCACCTCAATACGTGAGGCAGAGGCAACTTGAGTGTTGGCTTACAGGTTCTCCAAGCACGTAAAGAGGACAGACCGCACCCAGCACAGCACCCAGAGGCCAGCACTCTGCACACTGCTGCAGCCCTGGGGAGAAGGCAAAGGCCTGAGGAAAAGGTGTTGGCCTGGCCAAAAGGTACCCAGCCTGAAACTTTCAAATGCCTCTGCATAGGCCAGGGTTAGCCTGTTTCTAAGGGAAGGACTAGGAAGTTCTGCTCATACACACAGGCTTCAGAGAGTAAAAGAAACTTGGAAGGCAAAAATGAGTTTACCTGAACTTACCTGGGAGTCGCTGAAGGGAAGGCATCCTGCAGCGGCCAGGAGGAAGAGGACACTGTGGAGGGGGAGACAAAACACACAGCTTCACTTCTCAACATCAAAGCATTTCCCAGAGAGTGTGGAGGATGAAATACATCAGTTGGAGCTTGGATGAGGCAAAGATCCTGGGAGAACAAGCCCAGTTCCCTGCTTATCTTGTGAGAACCCCACCATCGACATAGTTTTCAATTATGTGCTCTACTGATAACCAGATGGTTCCTTCTCTGGTGCTCAGCCAGCCATTTTCCCAGAGACAGGCATTTGCAGGACATTTGTAAAACCACAGCTCGCTCACTCAAGAAAAACAGAGTGCTTGTGAAACGTATAATAAAAGGAGATTTTTTTTAACTACAGATACCAAAAAATACACTAGTGGAAAATTGGGCAATCACACTACAATCATGCTGCTTACCAGAAAGAAAACACCATGGAAAGAATACTAAAATCTTCTGTACACCACCTTAACAAAATGATCAGATTTCATATCTCCAATAATGGGACAGAAATACATCATGTGCTTCCTGATAGGAGGTACTGAGAAGAGCACAATGTCACTCGTGTGGTATTCCTGCCAAATATGCATAACTAAACTGAATCAGGAAGAAACACCAAGAGAAACACAAATTTAGGGACTGTCCACAAAACAACGGGTTTACACTATCCAAAAAGGTGAAGGCAATGAAAGCCAACGAAAGGCTGAGGAACTGTTCCAGATTAAAGGATATGCAAGAGACATGACATCTTTGGGGGAAGAGATTACTATAAAAGACAATATTGGGATAATTGGCCAAATTTGAACATGGATTCAATATTAGATGATAGTATTGAATCAGATGTTAATTTTCTAAATGTATTAATTGCACTGTGGCTATACAAGAGATTGTTATTTTTAGGAGACACACTTTCAAGTATTTAGGGGCAAGGTCATGATCTCTGCAACTTATTCTCAAATGGTTCAGAAAAAAATAAGAGTAAGAATAATTATATATATTTTCTTATATATTTTATGTGATATATATGTAAATATATATATATGAAGAGAGAGAGAAAGCAAATGCAAAAAATGTTAGCAATGGGTGAATCTAGGTGAAAGGTATATGAGAGTTCCTTGTAATATTCTTGCAACTTTTCTGTAGGTTTCAATTTTTTCCCAAATAAAGATTTATTAGAACAATCTCTTACACATACTGAAATATTTATAGATGCAATGCTATGATGCCTGGGATTTGCTGAAGCGAGGCGCCGGGCGGAGCCACAGGCTGACAATGTTGACGCCGGGTGATGGGCACACAGGGCTTCATTACACTATTCTGTCTACTTTTATAAATGTTTATAAATGTCCATAATAAACTTTTTTTTTTTAATTCTTGCACAAAAAAGTAACACTGCCAATCACAGATATTTTCACATTCATTAGAAAGTCGATTTGGAACTATCTGTGGTTCAGGAATCCACAGTTTTTAGCATATCTCTTCTGGGTTTCATACACCAAAAGATCTTGCCCTCTAGCTTTCTCCAATCATTCTCTCCTCCTAAAAGGCGGCACCGGAAAACAGAAAACCCAAACTATCACATACTCTTTCTCCCTCTTTCCATTCTGTAATGCAACAGCATATATAGTGTTGAGCCCCTTCACTACTGGCCATTCCGTTAGCTGGCAAACAAAGGATCAAAGGCACGAAGGGAAGCAGTGAATATAGCATTTTCCTTTTCAGAGGACTTTGTCATATGACATCTCATATATATTTTATACACATAGAATTCTATATTATTCACATACATACGTAATACATAACAACCTGATATTTATAACCTAAGTACACTGACGATAGGATGCTAACCAATTCTGCCCACAACCCCACACCCCTGACAGTCCTCGCTGTTGTCATCACATGGAGTTGTGTACCCAACAGACGAGCACACGGCTGAGCCCGAGGCAGGAGGCCTGGTTCAGAGGAATCCTCGGAGCTGGGGCCTCACAGCCATGGAAAGATCAGGACAACACAGAACATCCTGTGCTGGATGGCACAGGAAGGTTCTCCACCCCAGCCCTACCCTACAGCCACACCCACTTTCAAGGCACACACACAAATGGCCTCGAGAAGACTCCAAGGCACCAGATGGCAGAGAGACTCAGAGGCAGGGTGGGGTGAGTGGAGGGAGGTTGTCAGGAAGGGCTTCTGGGACAGCACACCAACAGGCAGGTTTTAGGTGGGAGGAGAGGAGAGCCCTAATGGGCTTGGTGTCTACCTACAATGGAAGGCTTTACAGGATATAGGACGCTTCCCCAGCTACAGGCAATGAGCGTTATCGATCCTCCCAAAACAGACAACCCCTCGGAGTTGAGGGGGAGATAGGGGACAGCCGGGTGTGAGATAGGCCCTGGTTTCCCACCAAACGTGGCCTTGAGCAATACCTGATTATATCAGGTATTAGTAGGGTTTAATGCCTCTTTTTAACACCTGCTAATCTTTTAAACAAGGGGATGAGTCCTGATGGTGGTTTTGTTTTATTTTTTCAAGTAGCAGCCTGTAATAAAGGCAAAAAGGAGATTGGATGAAAGCCCAGAAATATTTGAAACAAAGAGTCCTAAATCCACGTGTCAAAGTGTCTCTGTTGGTTTTCTGTCTACAGGACTAGGCTTCGTAGCTACTGCAGAGGAGCAGGAAGCACAGAACAAGGCACCCAGGTTAGAATTAGCACACGGGGTACAGGGACCCGCCTGAGAGTCCAGCCCAGGAAACTGAGGCACAAAGGATTATGAAACCTGCCCACGGTCACTTTGCTGTTGCCCAAGACCACAATTCAGATCCCTGGACTCACAGGCCAGTGCTCTTCACCACGGGAAACCTTAAAAACCAATAAACTGCAAACGTTATGTTTTAAGTTTTAAGTCCTTTCCACGTTTTCCATTTTCATTCCCCATCAGTATTGCACAACTTTCAGCGAAGTTTTGGGCATCAATGACTGAAATCTAGCATGGGTTGTTTTTCCCTTAGGAATAAAATATTTCAGAAAAAAAAAGAGCAAGAGAGATAGTAAATTTTAGAATAAGGCACAAAATAGGGATACGAGTGTTTATAAGAAATTCCTTTGTCAATTCTCAAGTTCGAATCTTCAACAAACAGTTTAACATCCAAGTTTAAAATCAGGTTAAATCTTCTATTTTAGAAGTTTGTGGGTTTTTTTTAAAACTTACCTACAGATCTTTGCAGGAGAAGTTTTCTGTAGGAAATAAAGAGACATAAGTAGTCTTTAAAAATTGTTTTTCCCTTAAAAGAAAATATTTAGGTCAAGAGGCAAATAAATTATGAGTAAGTTTATTGGGGGCTTAACAGCTTGCTGCACTTGAGGGCTTGTTGTGGCTTTTTCTTCTTGGACAAAATGAAGGGTGACTCAGAGGCCCAGGGGTGAGTCACTCGGGCAGGGCCCTCTGCATGTGCCGGTTACCTCTCTCACCATCCGAATCCTGTTTACTCACAAAAAAACAAAAGTGATGCCGGGGCCAAGCCTTCCCATAGCTTACACACCACGCAAGGGGGACAGAGAGAAATCAATGTAACCTGTGCAAGACAAGAAATTAAGCTCTTGTTCAACTTCTATTCCAGTCTGTCTCTTTAAATCTTCCTTCCATGAATCCAGCTCTGACTCTGAGCAGTGCTATAAATTCTCTGGAATGATGTGTAAATTAAGAAACAGGAGAAGGGACATTTGACTCCACCTTCACAGAGAAGGAAAAAAGGGCAGATTGAGGAAATCTAAACTTGGCACGTAAAGCTCCCTGAAATAAAGAAATTCCAATGCAGACTCTACCTTTATCGGCTCCTTTTTATTAGTCAGTTTAAGGGAATCAGTCCTTTGCACTCAGGAAGAAAGTTCTGCCAGGGAGAAGCATAGCTTGTTCTATATTTGATAGGGGAAATGGTCAGGTAAAATAACAGATTAATTACGAACATTTCGGAAGGCTTATTTTGCTAGTTGAGGACACAGTGCAATTTTAATATATTTTTTTAAAGGGTAGGAGGAGGGATGAACAGGCAGACCACAGAGGATTTTTTTTTTTTTTGAGGAAGAGTGACCCTGAGCTAACATCTGTTGTCAATCTTCCTCTTTTTCTTTTTTCTCCCCCAAGCCCCAGCACATAGTTGTATATCCCAGTTGTAGGTCCTTCTAGTTCTTCTATGTGGGGTGCCGCCTCAGCATGGCTTGATGAGCGGTGAGTATGTAGGCCCCCAGGATCTGAACCCGGGAACCCTGGGCCGCCAAAGTGGAACACACGAACTTAACCGCTATGCCACTAGGCCGGCCCCTAAACTGCAATTTTTTTTTTTTTTGAGGAAAATTAGCCCTGAGCTAACATCTGTTGCCAATCCTCCTCTTTTTTGCTGAGGAAGATTGGCCCTGGGCTCACATCTGTGCCCATCTTCCTCTTCTTTATATGGGACACTGCCACAGCATGGCTTGATAAGCGGTGCGTCAATCCACGCCTGGGATCCGAACCTGAGAACCCCGGGCCCCCGGAGCTCCAGAACTTAACTGCTACGCCACGGGGCCAAGCCCCAAACTGCAATTTTTTGACTCGAGTTCAGATAGTGTGAAGTATGAACATACTGTTTAAAAGTGAAGTGCTGACAAGAGAAACATGTCGTTTGCTATGAAGACTATGTTAAGTTTTCATGCATTACTAAACAATCCAGTTTGCATCGTTTTCATAAACAGACTCTGTGAACAAAGCAGTGGCTTGCATCTTTAGATCCTTTAATCTATCTTTGTGGAACCTGCCTCAGCAGAGCACAGAGGCAATGCCAACCTTGACCCCACTGCCACCTGGTGGGGAGACTTATCCCTTCAGTACAGAAAGGATGACACACACGAAGGTGACCTGGCTCACAACACCTGCATCATGGGAAAAATGCATTACTAAAAGATTCTGAGCTAAATATCACCAACATCTCAACAGTTCGGTGGAGAAGCAGGAATGGAGAGGACAGAGACGAAGGGGATGCCCCACCTCTTCCATGAGAACATGTTCGCCCAGCAACTGTCTGGGGGCTTCCACTACAGGGCAGCAAACCAACCCAGAGCCTGAAAGCGTTCCCCCATTCCACAGAGGAGAGAGGCTTTTTTATTCTAAACTCCTCTGTCTAAAGGAGCCCAGAACCTGAAATATGAAGAGCAAAAACAGGCAATAAATTCATTACTGAGCTCTATTCCCCGAGGGCTCGGAAGACAAGTGAAGGGCTAATGTCAGGGCGTTCACCTTTATAGGCCCTTCAGTCCAAAACTCCCCCAGCAACAAGTCCTAATGACGTCTCAGCATTCTGAATGGGGCAGGATAACTCCTCAATAGTTCCACCGCCAAAACTAACAATAAGGAGCTCCCGTTACTCTTGGTTAGCTGACTTACCCTGAAGGCTATTCTGTGCTGGGTGCTGTTCTAGGTGCTCTACAAGTATGGACTCATTCGTTATGGGTTAATTAATAACCTTGGGTTATAAGCTACAGAGGGGGACACTGAGGCACCGAGAAATGAGGTAAGCTGCCTAAGGTCGCAGGTTTGGGGCCAGGAGACTCGCTCCAGAGCCTGACCCATTACAATGCTATTCTGCCACAGTGACACCTGTTGGCCCTTTCCGGCCACTAGCTTTCATTTGCCGCTTCCTCTGCCTGCCTGGAGTGCTTTCTCCTTGTCCACCTGGGAAATTCCTACCCATCCCGTGTGACTGAGTTCAAATCTAGCCCCTGGGGAAGACCCCCATTCAACCCTTCCAAGCAGGACTTACCGTGGCTACCCCTCGTCCACCTGCACCCCTTTTCTGGCTCATACGACACTGCATGGGCATCACAGTCATGTTTACATGTCGGCTCCTCCATTCAACCTGAGTTCTGTGAGGTGATAAGCGTGTCCTCTACGTCTCTGTAGCTGTAGCCTAGCGTGATGTTCGATATGTAATGTATATAAATGTTGAACAAACGAACAAATGAGTGAGAAGCAGTATTCTAATGTTAAACTGTGATGAATATATCTGCAAGGTAGTAAGACTAATTCCACAAGCCACACATTACCTTAGAGTCAAACACTGTGTGTGTATGAGTGTGTGTATACAAAGAACTAGTTATGAATGGTGACAACGAACTACAGCTCCAGATACAGTTTATTCTCATAACCTGGGAATGAGGTTATGAGGAGGTCAAGTTTACTCTCCAAAGTCGATTCTAGTAAAACCTGACACATAACAGACAATAGAGCCCTCGCTGTGAGTCACAGGTCAAGTCTGAGAGGAGGCTCGAAGCTGTGTTCCTCACGATATCCTGTCATCCGTCACCGCTCAGGGCTGAGTGATCAGGGATGTAAATCATATCAAGAACATCTCATGGCAATCTTCATCACAGAGCAGATTTTAATGCTAAACTACCAGAAACTAGAAACTACTACAAAGAGGGGCTGGCCGACACACTGTGTTTCCCGTGGAGTGGAATGAGGACACACATAGAGGTTCCTGACAAATTGTTCAATGGAAAAATAGGACGTATTTTATGATTTGTGTAAATACACCTATACATGTGCATAGAAAAAAAGTCTGAAAGAATAGATGGTTTCCTCTGGGAAGCAGGATCACAGTTGATTTCTGCTTTTTTCCTCTGCATTTACTACAACTTATTATTTCTTATTACATTCATAAAGGAAAGAAAGATTTTTTTAAATAACTAAATAGATATTTGCCCTGACAAGAAATGATGTTTTGTGTTAGTGATGAAATGGAATTAAAGATTCAAAATATCTTGGTGTTCATCCAACTCCTTCCAAGGACAGGTCCTCTCAGCCTGGAAGTCTGGCCCCTGGTCTCTGCTTGATGGAAACATCCCTGAGGACCCTCCAGCCCCGTGTTGGGGGACGATCAGATCATCTATCTGATCCAATTTTTTCATCAGGAAGCAATATTCTATGGAGACGCCTGGATCCAGCACCTAGACCAGGTGAATCTTCATTTTAAATTCACAAAACACTATCCATTTCATGAATAAGAAGCCTTTTTGGAATTTGAGTCAGCCTCCCAGAACCTAAGCAGCTCTTGGTTTCTGAACCTGAAACCTCAGTGACCAGTCAGCGAATATTCACTCGGCACCAGTTCTGGGGCTGCGCCCTGGGGCTACACAGAGAACAGCTCCATGGGCCCTGCAATGAGAGGGCTTGGAGGAGGCAGGCGGAGACACAAGGAAAATCATACTGCATTTCACTGAACCTAAGATGCCACTGATTGTAAAATTCCCTATTATTTTATACACTACTAAGAAAGAAAAATATATATATATCTATACTATATATACTAAGAAAGAAAAAATTAGACCAGGGCACACCATTGATTGTAAAAGCATCCTGATTTCAGATAGTGAAAAATTTTTAATGTGAAAAAAAGGAGCACATGTGAGAATTGATGACATATGGAAATCACAAGATGGTGCGATAAACAGAATGTCAGAGAAATGTGCCCCTGCTCCTGGAGGTGTCAGGGAAGCCTCCACTGCACGTGGATCAGCCTGAGGTGCCGGGAGCCTCACTGGAGGCACCGCAGGGTCCCCTCTCACCTCCTGCAATCCTTTCTCCTCCACAGACGGCTGGATGAGCAGCTCACACGGTGAATCTGATCCGTCTCTCTGGGCTTCAAAACCCAACCGTGACCTCCCATTGCACTCGGCATAAATTCCCAGCTCAGCCTCAAAGGCGCCTGTCTCTAGCCTCGTCCTCAGCCTCCTCTCTTTCTTATCAACCTCCAGCCACACTGGCGCACACAGGCTTCCGCCAAGTCCCTCTTGCGGGACTGGCCCCCTGCGCCTGCTGCTTCCTCTTTCTCTTCCTCTTCCCTCCTTCCGCTTCTACTTGTCCAACCCCTGCTCAGCCTCTGTCCATGTTTAAATGTCACGTCCCCAGAGCGGCCACTCTGGCCACACAATCCAGCACGTGGGGCTCATGATTTGTTTAGTGTCTGTCTCCTGTGCTTGGCTGATGCTCCACAAAGCAGCGACCATGCTCTTGCTCACTGCTGTAGACCCAGGGGCTGGCACCATGGGAGTGTACGCAGGTATATAAGAAATATCCATAGAGTGAATGAGGGGGTACTTTTGCTGACAGATCAGAGGAAAGAAATATCATGATATGGTCTAGGAAAAGTGAGAAGTTTGCTTGTGGTTGGAATTTCTAAAACCTGAGAGGTGGATGGCGCCCAGGTGGAGAAGGGCTTTGCACGCCTCCGTGTGGGTCATGGGCAGTCCCCAAAGGGCTGTACGTGAGGGACACGATTGGATCTGTGTTTCAGAAAGATCACTCTGGTGCAGTGTGGAGGAAGGTGAGTGTGGGGAGAGACAGAGGCAGGGAAACCAGCCAGGGCACCACCCCACGTCTCTCGGGCAGCTCGGTGCCCACCAGCCTTCACCAGGCAAGGGCACACACAGATAACGACAACCATCTAGGCCGGGACTGCTCACTCCAGGCCCTACCTGGCTGCCCTGAGGGCTCAAGATCTCATTTCTCAGCCCCTAGCTGGGCAGCCCTGAGAAACAGATAAGGACCTGAACTAAGGCGGCAGCAGCAGTAGGAATGGAGAGGAGGGGACAGATTCAGAACTAGACTGGGTGTGGGGGGAAGGGAGACCGAGGAGTCTGAGGGGACCCCTGCATTTCCGACTTGGGAGAGGATGACCAGGATTGGGATCACTAAGTGAGAAGCAGGTTGAAGAAACAGATCAGTTCCATTTGGATCCCTCTGCATTTCACAAACCCGGGAAACAGCCAGGCGGAGAACCAGAGGCCTGCAGGCCATAGGGATCTGAGCTCAAGAGAGAGGTCTGGGCTGGAGTCCCCAGTGAACTGAGGGGGGCTGGTGCCATGGGTGTGGATGCGATTGTCCAGAAAGCGTGTTGCATGGGAACAAAAGGCGCCTGAGACAGAGCCCGAGGAGACCCTGAAGGAGAGACAAAGGACAAAGAGGAAGACAGGTGGCTGTGAAGGGAGAGCCAGAGACTCTGGGATAAGAAGCAGCAGGGAGCGGGAAATGAAGGTCAAGGGGCTAAGAGATTCAGGAAAAGGGAGGGGGTGACGGATGGTGTAAAAGGCCAACAGAGTTGCATAAATGAAGCCATCGGTGACTTCAGCCAGAGCGACTTCAGGGTAATGGTGGGGGCAGGAGCAGGCTGAAGGTGAGAGGGACACAAGGACACGAGGACATGAGGGCGTGGACAGCACCGAGCCGGACCCTCTCTTAGGCGCTGTGGCGGGAAGGGCAAGGATGAGGTGAGCGGAGGTGGAGGGCGAGCACGAGGAAGGCAGCTGCTGGCTCTCCTGTCGAGTGTTGGTTTTATCAACACAGCCTTCCAGAGCTGGGTTCCTGTGAGTGGGTCTCCCAGGGCCTGCTCCTTTTCTGGTGGATGGAGAAAACTGGGCATGTCTGCAGGCCAAGGGAAATAAGCCAGCAGAGGCAGAGAGGTCAACTATCCAGGAAAGAGGAGGGTAACCCACGGAACTGCCTCCCCTCCGAGGAGCAGGCGGGGGTCACGGAGGGCACCCAGGTGTGCGCAGTGGCCTTGGCCATGGGAAGGACGCCTCTCTCCCCTGCACACCTGTAAGAAGTGCACTGCCCAGATGGCTGATTACCCTCTCTCTAGTTTAAAAGTTCCAAAATTTTGATATGAAATCATTTCAAACGGGCAGATGTTAGAAAAAAGGAACGTCTGAAAGAGGGACCAAATTAAACCCACCACTAATAACGTTAATAATCATAGCTAACATGTACAGAGCGCCCACATGTGCCAGAAACTGCTGGAAGCACTTAACACGTGTGCCGCACTATGCCCTCCCAACAACTCTATGAGTTGGGTGATGTTACTAACCCGTTTTGACAGATGGAGGCACAGAAGATGAAGGAACTTGATGTAGCTGGTGTGAGGCAGAGCTGGGGCTGGGGCTAAAAGGGAATTTCCTCAGGGTGGGCTGAAGCTCCCAGCACCCGACGTGAAGCTCTACCTTATGTTTCCATGAGGCGCTGGGATTAGCTGTGGGTGGGAACGCCTCCCCCACCAGGCACAGCAAATGCTTCCTTGAATCCCGACGCCCTGGCCGGGCACTGGCCTGGAGCTGAGTTCCTTCAGATCAACAAGCGTTCCCACGTATGTCTGGTGAACTGAAGGGACGTCAAAACTGTGATCCCTGAGGGCCGGCCCTGTGGCTTGGTGGTTAAGTGCGCGCGCTGCGATGCTGGCGGCCCGGGTTCGGATCCCGGGTGCGCATCGAGGCACCACTTCTCCGTTCATCCTGAGGCCGAGTCCCACATACAGCAACTAGAAGGATGTGCAGCTACGACACACAACTATCCACTGGGGCTTTGGGGGGAAAAAATAAAATAAATAAAATCTTTAAAAAAAAAAAAAAACTGTGATCCCTGAAATTAGTGACCACTGTCGGGTAGTCTTGACTGGAAACAGATGGCAGGAAAAGGTAGAAACTAATTTGGGCCATAAACAAAGGTGTGTCTTTGAAATTTAAAGCAAGGGAAGTGAAACTAGCATTTTGCATTATCATTTACCTCTTTCCGAAAACACTTCTGGTGCCCACAGACAATGACTTCAGCTACATTATGTAAAGTGAGAAACACAGGAATGGCCTGAAAGAAAACAGAACAATAAGCATGAAAATATTTTCTTTGATCTCATAATTACATAATTCTCGATTTCTGCTTAAAAATAAAGACCTGGGGGAACTGCTGGTATTTGCATATATAATCCTCTGCAGCAAAAACTCTTCTCCATGGATTAGTGCTCTCTCTCGTAGTATTATTCTTGGTAAGATGGTCATAGAGGCTCCCCTGCTACGAGTATTCTCATCAACACACATTTATTAAGCACCTACTATGTGTCAGGCACTGTGCCAGGTGCAGGGTACACATCCCGTGAACAAGGTGGACACGTGACAGGGAGACTAGCCCTATTGAGGTAAGAGCTCTGACGGAGTGTGCAGAAAGGCGCATCTTACCCAGCGTGGGGAGAGCAAGCCTTCTTGGAGGAAGTGAAGTCCAAGGCCTGAAAGAGAACTGAATGATGAACCAGAGGGAGCCAAACAAAGAGAGGAGGCGGAGAGTGCTCCAGGCAGATGAGAGTGACCCCGCTCCACCGGGAACTGGGGGAAGTCAGGCACGCTGGAACATAACGTGGAAGGGACAAGTCGGGGAAAAGAAGGCGGAGAGGTCATCACGAACCATATCAGGAAGTCAGGACCACCATAAGAGTCGCTGAAGGGTTTTAAAGCAGACAGCGACATGATTTGATCTTCGCGTTAAAGGGAACTTGGGCCACTCGGTAGGGGACAGGAGGCAGAGACGGTCGCAAAAGTCTAGGGGTATGGTAGACTGAAAACTGGTCCTCCAAAAAGCCACCTCCTGTTGCCTGGAACCGGTGAATGTTACCTTGCACGGCAAAAAGGGGTCTTTTCAAACGTGACTAAGTTGAGAATCTTGAGATGGGGAGTTTACCCCGAACTATCTGAGTAGGCCCTAAATGCAAACATAGTATTTATAAGAGAAAGGCAGAGATCTGACACACACAGAGGCTGTGACTACAAGCCAAGGAACGCCAGCAGCCACCAGAAACAGAAAGAGGCGAGGAACAGATTCTCCCCCAGAGCCTCTGGAGGGAGCAGGCCCTGCCGACACACCTTGACTTTGGACCTATAATACTGATTTTGGACTTCTGGCATCCAGACCCGGGAAAGAATAAATTTCTGTTGTTTTAAGCCACCCAAATATGTGGTAATTTATTACAGCAGCCACAGGAAACTAATACACGGAATGACAAGATGGTGGCCTGAACTTGGCAGTGGCAGTGAAGACGGAGAAAAGTGCCCACATTAAGGAAATATTTAGGAGACTGAACTGAGGCAAACATTTGAATAACTGGGATCAACTTCGCACCAAAAAAAAAAAAAAAATGGAGTGTGAGATTTTGTTGATGCTGATGTTCCCTGCAAAGCAGAGAAAGATCAAGAACATGCGTGGGTTTTGGCACCAGCCTGGGCTTCAGGCCCAGCTCCACCATCTGCTTATCCAAACCTTAGTTTGCTCCTCTGTAGAATGGGGATAACCATACCTAAGACCTGGAGCCATTGGGAGGAATGCGGGAAACAACGCAGGTAAAAGACCTAGATGAATGGTGCAGGAGCACTGCATGAAGGTGGTCCATGTAACTGGTAGCCCACCCTCAGTGGCCCTGACAGAGGCCCTCAGCTGGGGCGCTGCTCCAGCTTAGTGGACCTGCTTAAAGGTCATCCTGCTCTCTTCCTTCCAGATGGATTAATTCTTCATCGTTTTGGAAGATATATTTTTACCTTGTTTTTAAAACTTTTATAACTTCATAGCTCTTCCCTATTTTAGTATTTTGTTAGAGCTTGCACTGCTTTATTTCCTTTTGAGTTCTTGCCTTACAGTTTTCTTGCCTTTTTAACTTTTTCTACTCTTATTTTATCTTTCATTAAAAGTTCAACTCATTAGGGGCCGGCCCCGTGGCGTAGCGGTTAAGTGCACACGAGCCGCTGCTGGCGGCCCGGGTTTGGATCCCGAGCGCACACCAACGCACCACGTGGCAAGCCATGCTGTGGCGGCATCCCATATAAAGTGGAGGAAGATGGGCACGGATGTTAGCCCAGGGCCAATCTTCCTCAGCAAAAAGAGGAAGATTGGCATGGATGTTAGCTCAGGGCTGATCTTCCTCACACACACACACACAAAAAAGTTCAACTTATTAAAGCAATGATGAAGAAAATAAAAAAAAAGTCCTACTCAACAGTTTTTCCCTTTTAAAATCATACTTTATGTTCTACTTTTTCATTTGTCTTTTGCACTTCTTTTTATTCATCTTGAAATTTTATATTGTGAATTATTTTGTATGTGTTTTAAAATTATTAAAGAGGTTTTTTTTTTAACTGGCTTTATCCATTAGGCCCGTGTTTGGCAAACTTGGGCCCTGGCCTTTTAGTTCTTGGCAGGAAAAGATAGTAAAGAAAATCTTGGACAGGTCAATCGTGTGGTACATGCAAGTAAATCTGAAAGGGTGACCTAGATCTTACTTATTTAAAATTAAGACCTTATTTAAAATGCTTTTGCCTCCTTGACTATAAAATCACTAAGGAGACCAGACTTAGGACTGAGATTACAGAACTCTAGACGCTAACTGTAGACCTCAAGGAGGCTGACTTTTTTCTATTTTATAAACTGTAGACAGGTTTCTCAATCTCCCTAGAACCTACTCTGATCAGACTCTGGAAAAGGACCTATCTATACATACAGAACTGATTTTTTTTGTGTGTGTGTGAGGAAGATCAGCCCTGACCTAACATCCATGCCAATCCTCCTCTTTTTGCTGAGGAAGACTGGCCCTGAGCTAACATCTATTGCCAATCCTCCTCCTTTTTTTTCCCTTTTTCTCCCCAAGGCCCCAATAGATAGTTGTATGTCATAGTTGCACATCCTTCTAGTTGCTGTATGTGGGACGCCGCCTCAGCATGGCGGGACAAGCAGTGCGTTGGTGCACGCCCGGGATCCAAACCCGGGCCACCAGCAGCAGAGCACGCGCACTTAACCACGAAGCCACGAGCCAGCCCCTACAGAACTGATTTTAAAGTGCACTAATAACAGCTACCACAATGTGTTAAGCACAGTGCTAATCATTTCAATTGCATTCTCTTATTTAAACCCCCTCCCAACAACTCTATTAGTGGATGCTATTACCTTAATTTATAGACAAGGAAATCGAAGCTTAAAACATCAGGCAACTGGCTGGGTCAGGCAACTCACCTAGTTCAGGGCGGAGCCATAACTCCAATCCAGGCCTGTCTAACTGAGCCCACACTCCCAGCCTCGATGTTATAATACCCAATCACGTCAGCCCCAGGGTGGACTTCCTGGATCTACAACCGTCCAAAGTCCAGCATGACTGGTGTGTTTCAAATCCTGCCCGTTTGCTTCCTCCAGGAATAAAACTGGAATGATCTAAAATGGTTGAACTCAAAGAAAACTCTATGCCCTTTTTAAAAGGGATTTATAGGGCTGGCCCCGTGGCTTAGCGGTTGGGTGCGCGCGCTCCGCTGCTGGCGGCCCGGGTTCGGATCCCGGGCACGCACTGATGCGCCGCTTCTCCCGCCATGCTGAGGCCACGTCCCACATACAGCAACTAGAAGGATGTGCAGCTATGACATACAACTATCTACTGGGGCTTTGGGGGGAAAAAATAAATAAATAAAATCTTTAAAAAAAAAAAAGATAACTCAATGTGCTATTGGAACATAGGTAAGTTTTAAAAAAAAAAAAAAAAGGGATTTATATCTTCCATTTCTACTTAAAAAAAATTTAAATCTGAATTTCTCAAGCCATTTTTCCTACTGAGAAGCTAGCAGGCTTTAGAAACAGTAATTCTACAATTGACTATATCAGCCGCCTTAGAGATCTATCACAAACAATATTATGGGAGTCTGCAACTTTAATTACTGATTTTCCCTTGCCCTCTAACTCTGTGCACAAGTCCCGGTCTGAACTACGCTATTAGCTTGGAGAAAACCTGCCCTTTATTATCTTTATGAAGAGAGGTTCAGCAGGACTTACTTTTGTCAAATTAGACAAAAGTTCTGTGAAATGATAATATCAATAGTGATAATAGTTAAGATATAGTGAATGCTTACTGTGTGTCAGACACTGTTCTAACTGCTTTTACATATTTAATCATCATAATAGCCCTAAGAAGTAGATACTATTAACATCCCCATTATACAGATGAGAAAACAGAGGAGTATAATCTGGGTCTCTTTTTTATAACCTGCCTCTTAATAATTACATGATCTAGATATGTGCTTGCTGCTGAAGAGAACAGAAATATAAGCACGTTCTTCCACATTGGCAAGACTCTAGGAATGGCCTCAACAACAAAAGGTCCCACCATCTTTCATCAGGAAAAATGGCCCAAGATCAACTGCCATAAAGCCCAAATCATCATTTTTGACACAAAATGCAATTGATCAAATTCACCTACACTACAGGCCGATTTATTTAGTTACTTAGGAGCACAATTTGCAACTAATTTATTCTTAGAGTCCATTAGCTTAAAATTCAACATTTCATCCATGTACCATCGGAAATTCTTCTCTGGTTGTGAAAAGAAATTCATAACTATTACTTAAAATTTTTTATTATTTCCATGCTTCCCAGAGTGGAATTTTGAAGCCTCGATTGTTATTTGTTCAGGTGTTGGAACTTAGAACAGTTTTCTATGGAAAATCCTCGTCCTGCCCACAGGCCCGGTCTTGGGTCACTCCGCAGGGGTGTGAATGACTCCCTTATTCAAGCAGGTCTTGGGTCAGCTTCTTAATTTTTTTGTTGTTTTTTTTTGTTTTGAGGAAGATTGGCCCTGCGCTAACATCTGTGGCCAATCTTCCTCTTTTTCTTTTTTCTCCCCAAAGCCCCAGTACATAGTTGTACATCCTAGTTGTAGGTCTTTCTAGTTCCTCTGTGTGGGATGCCGCCTCAGCATGGTTTGATGAGCAGTAAGTAGGTCCGTGCCCAGGATCAGAACCTGCGAACCCGGGCTGCCAAAGTGGAGCACGTGAACTTAACCGCTATGCCAC